GTGTGTAGTGTAGTGTAGTGTAGTGTAGTGTAGTGTAGTGTAGTGTAGTGTAGTGTAGTGTAGTGTAGTGTAGTGTAGTGTAGTGTTGCGTCGCATCGTGTCATGTCGTGTAGTGTAGTAGAGAGTGGACTGGAGTACGTGTCACTAATGCAGGTACAGAAATATCATTATGTTCCTTCCAAATTAAATAAAAGTAAATGTCTGTTTAATATTACAGGTGAATAAGAAGTTGAAAAGTGGCCAGACACATTGAAGCTAATGGCAGATAGATTGTTCATAGTAATAGATGCACTTTGACACACTCATCTTGTTGAAGCTGACAATGCAAATATTTGTTATCTGTGCCTGAGGTGAAAATCCCTCATATCACAGATTTTCAGCATGTAACAAGGTAAACCAGGATTTTTAGACAACCATGCCAGAGTAGAGATGGCAGCAGTGTGCCCTCTATTTTGTAGAAATCCTGAGTCCCCAAAATCAAGTTGAGTCACCTAGTTAACTAAGGTTGGTCTTCAATGAAAAATATAATTTTATGTGTAGAGTGGAATTGCCGGAAACCTCGGAAAATATGGAAACCTGGTAAACATGAAAAGTTGAAATTGGCAGTGACTAAAATTGAAAAAATAAGTTAGGGGTTAGGGTTAGGGTTAACCCTAACTCTTTCCTCCAATGTCGTCCATGATTGCAATGCAATATACTGCCCTCAAACAAATGGTGCAAAACCCAGCCTCTTGGAGGTGCCAAATGGCATAGAAAGTTAAAATGGCCGCTGATTGGCTGATTTTATCACATGACCTTTGCTAAACTCAAGCGAGCATCCCGTATTTTCTCAATTTCGTTTGCGGAAAGGTCTTGAATCTTGTAATGATTTAAATTGATTGAATTTGAATTTGATTCGATAACTTTTTATGTTTCCGAGGTTTCCATACTTTCCGAGGTTTCCATGTTTCTGAGGTTTCTGGCAATTCCACTTTACGAATTTTATGTGACTTGAGGCACAAACAAAAATACTGTGGCCCCCAATTTCAGTCTTTTACTTATTTTGTTTATAAAATGTTAATTTCATTTTACCAAATGACAAATTCCATAACTATAGTAAGATCATTATCAGGATAGAATAGGATAGGATATTTTATTTGGAACGTACACAAAAACAAAGTTTGAGTAAAGTCCAATATAAGAAACATAAAATATCAGTTTATGATTCTCTGTTGTGTCAATGATGACCAGTGAATTAGTGCAACTCGTTGTGTCACAACAAATCCGTATGTATCAGTGGCATGCCATATCGGGTTAGAACTTCGCTGATAGCTCCCAACATGTTATGATGAATGACTTAATGAAATGACAGACTGGGGAATACAGTTTTATACAATATGCAATATACAAAATAATAATAATAACTTTATTACACTACTAAAAAACCTTCAGTCTTCTTGATACAGGTATATAAGTCAATACTCAAGTTGTAAGCCTTCTATTAAACTTTCTTCACACTGTCTACGTACAGTTAGCTCAAAAGATATTTCTCTCAAAAGATATTTCTAGTTTTATAACTGTTATCACAGTGAATTGTTTGTATGTCAAGTGTTTGTTTTTTTCATTTTCTTTGATATTTGTACACTTATTGAGAATATTTCAGCTGGAACTGTATCAGAAATGTTATCATGTTAAATGTACTTTACTGTAGAAAATTGAATACGCAAGTTTTATCTTGTCTTTTTCATTGTTAACAAAATATAAATTGTTTTTGCTTGATATTGGTGAACCTTCATGTGTATAGTGTGAGAGTACATGTATATCTAGTCAAAAGTTTGTGTTTATTGATATAAAAAGTTAGAATTTTCAGTCAGTCTGTTGTAAACTTACCTGTGCAAAATATAGGTCAAAGTATTGTTTATTTAATATCTAATTTTCCTCTTGTCTCAACACATTGCCTGCTGACTCCTTTGCAGTCCCTGATCGGACATTGACCACATCTGTATCTCCGAAAATGCCCGGCCAATTTTATTCAAACTTCTCACACATATATAAGGACATGCATTTGCGGCTATTTTAGTGTTAAAAATTCATCAAAATCAACCCATTTCTGCATATCTGGAACTGGAGCTTGGTTGTGCATGTATATTAAATTCAAAATTGATATGTTTATTAATCAAATAGGATCCTTGATTCAAAATGGCCGACTGATTCAAAATGGCTGACTGATTCAAGATGGCTGATCGTGCTAGAAATGCAATATGAATGTCATGGGCAAAATAAAAGAAATAAACTGGTTCCACTTTGTACCATGTCTGTCACATGAGTGTAAATAATTATTTGGCACTAATGTTGACAGTCACCAAAAACATGGATTTAGACATGACAATAAATTGTCTCCAATTGATTTTGATATGTCTGCATGCCGAGGCTTTCAGCAGGCAATCTAGTATGTACATATATAAAAGAAATTATCAGTTCAAATTACTGAATGCACTTTAATTATTAGTAGTTGTTGTTAGCATGTGTTGTGTAATCAAATAAATTATGTGTATTTTATTGAAGGTTTACATTTATGTATTTTGCAGTTTACTTATAATCACTGAGGTTATTTTTTTCACCATATTTTCTATATAATTTAGAACACCCCCAAATAGAGCTGGAGACAATACTGCATATAACACCTTAAGATGATATGGTGGGAGTTGAATAGGAGTCAACATAAACTACTCTAAAATACTTTATTTTAGCTGGAATTAATTTTCGCTGAAAAGAATCTTTGGGTATTTTGTATGGAGTCTATTTTCACTGATTTTTGACGAGTTGAACGTAAAATATAACAAAAAAGGTATTTTCGCTACAAACAATGTATTTCACCAGCTTGCAATTTGAGGTATGTCATAATATGTGCCATAGGGACCTATGATAAAAGCATTATACCGGTAATATTGGCCGGTAACTTTTCCACTAAAAAACTTTTAGTCAATATCTTTATATTGCCTGAGCATACAATTTATTGAAAAATGAAAAAAATTCTGTGTATTTGCATTAATGAGTAGTCTTTACTTAGATTATAAGTAATATTACTTGTAGCCTCAGTAGGATCATTTGTGATAGTTTTGTTTTTTGACAAACACAGAATTTTATCCATTTGACAGTCTGTACTGCAAAGCTATTTGAATAATTTTTAAGATGTTTCTCATATTTAAATAAATAAATAGATTGGAAATTCAATTTTGTGTGTTTACTGTTGTATTGTGCATTCATCAATTGTTGCGTAACCAACATCATTTCTAGGGCTGAACCGTCTTGTCCATCAAGTCAATTTTTAGCCTCGCTGTCAGTTGATGTAAATTATTTATTTGGTGTTCTACTTGTCCATATCATCATCATATATGACCTTTTCCTGTGGGATTAAGTACTTTTCATCACTTTTTTTTCACTATTTTTCATTCTAACAAAATAAAAAAAATCATGAAAAAAAGTGGTGTAAGTCACTAATGATTTTATTAGTGAAATTTGTACATATTGTACTTATTTACTTTATTTAATAGGTCCACTGATACAGGTTAAGCCTGTGCTTATTAATTACTCACCTTATGTAGATACTGTGTTTTTACAAAGAAACCAGTGTTGGCCAACCATTATAATCTGTGTTGTGTCCAAAGTGGAAGCAAGGGAAACTCTTTAAATGTTTACATTTTTTTAACCCCAATTCTGTTTTTTTTGGCGGTGTTCAGTGATTTTTTTATGAATCAAAAAGAAGTTTAAAGCAAGGGAGTCAGTACCTGCGCATATGTCAGATGGCCATAGCGTGTCCTTGTTCACAAACAAGCATCCACCTCTTAAGCCTTTGTGCTTTTAGCGTGTGTTGTTATCGTCGCTTGGGACTCAATTCCCGTGCATGCACAGATGACGGCTCTCCCACTTTAATGCCTAACAAAAAGCCCTTGCAATATGATGTGTAAAAAGTCAATCACAATTTTAGTTTTTGTTCACTTTATTTACTGCATTACACAATACTTAGTAATGTAATTCATGTTTTAAGTAGAATGTTGACATAGTGAGACGTTGGTTATTTCTTCAGTAATGGTAAACAGGATATTGTCAATTTTGGAAACTATTCATCATTGGTTGTAATGATAACAATATCTCATATTTCTAAATTATGTCTATGAAAACAATAAAATGTTACGTTGTTTTTAAAACCTATTTCAAATACCAATTAAATGTTCAGTCAATATTCATTTGCATAATTTTTTGTCCAATTATCAAAATCAAATTATAAAATTTAATTACATTTAGCATATATAGCCCACTTTTATATAATTTAAAATTTACCGAGGATAAGATTTGGAAACATAATGTTTGCTTAATTTTCTTTGAAACATACATTTCATGCAACCACATGTGTTGTTTATGGACACTTGGTATTACAAAACTCGTTACTCAGCCATTATGGGCTTGCATTGAATATAGACAAAGTGACAGCAGAAGCCAATATTTAAAAAATAGACTTCAGGCTCCCTTTTGGGAAAGCATAATACACTTCCCCATTATTTTGTTGAGTACACTATGCAAGGTGTGAATGAATTATCCATTTCCAAAAACTTGACATGTATAGTGCATTTCCTGTTAAGTTCATATCATAATTTTAGCAGCCAAATGAGGGAGTGGATGAAATTCGTACATGTATAGGCACATGTGTGAACATTTTGATGTCTATATTAGTGTTTACATCTGAGCATTTACTATTAATTTACCCCTCAATCTTTTGTTAAATCCTCTACTTGCATGTGTCCCTAGAAAATAACAAGGATATACAGCCACATATGATGGTAGAGGGCATACACTACTATGAACGAATATTTAATTTTACGGGACGGTGAATATGTAGATTGTTCACCAGTTACTCTCAATCAAGAGTTTCCAGAAAACATTTTATGCATTTATTTAGCTAGTATTTATTGGGTTACCTTATGCATATTGCCCTATCATCATTTCCTGTCGACAGGCTCAGGACCAATTACATTGTTAAAACCATCTGTCACAATAAGGCAGAGTACAGCATTCGGTTACAGTGGCATGAGATGGAGCATACAACAAATACATCTAATCTGATATTTTTTACATTCCTAAATTGATCAAGAACACTGATCAAATATTACATTGAAGCTCTCAACAAATTTGACACTTGATTCAGGATGTTTCTTTTTTACAATGTTATTGCTATGATTCATTCAGTTATGGAACATGCATATACAAGTAACGGGTTAAGTAGTGTATGCGGTCCATCTAATCCACCAGAGATTGTGAATAGCTGAATTTCTGCTGACTTTCGGAACTAGGAAGTCCAGTTCATAATCAATGAAATTATGTGTTCACTTTTCTTTTCTGTGTACTTGTGTGTACTATGAGCAGCAACCATTAACATTCCATGTAATAAAAGCAACTGCGTGATTGTGTGTATTTGTTTAGGTCCACTGTGAGTGGGTTAAGAATACAAATGACTTGTATACTGAATACTGCTGAACAAAAATGATTGTGGAAATAAGGAATTCTGTAGTTCCGAAAATACTTGGACTATATTTATCTTTATAACAGGACTTGGACACATTGATATCATAGTACTTCTCTAATTTGGTCAACTGTAGTGTATTGTCAGGGGAATCCCCTACAACAGCAAGATACTTTCCCTTACCGTAATTGTAATGGAAAATATCTCCAAAACAAAACAATTCACAAGTTCAAGAGAAACATCCATAAAGAGGCATTTTTTGATAATTCAAAAACTCAATTTGTGAGATTAACATACTTATCAATACGTTTTCTTGTTTTGAGATAATCTTTATTACAAAAAAGTGCTTTACTGGCTGCAGTTTTAAACCATAGACACAGTATTTTTTAAAACAAATGTAATGCTGAAGGATTTATTACTAACTTTTTGGTTTCTATAGATGTTCTATGGATCTATTTAGTCGTTGTGAAGGATCTTTTTTTTTTAGTTAAAAGTTCATATTCATTCACTGCATTCGACCATGTAGTGTCAACTAAACGATTTTGTTTTCAAATAAAATATTCATAAGTTATATTTTAGAATAGACATTTAGATTGCACAAATCTTAACATTTTGAAATTTTATATTAAATCAATTATTGTACAAGTATGATACTTCCGGTATAAAGTGTTTAATTATTTGCTGGGTTTGATTTTTCGGTTATTTCGCGATAGCTAAATTAAAACCTACCGGTAGTGATTATTTCCCTATCTACTTATAGTCGTCTGTTTGTGTGTTTTAACATTGATAATTCAGATTTAACAAACAAACAAACCATGCTTCAAATTCACATGGAGATTCACTATCAATTCGTCTTAATTGGTCGGATAACAACTTTGATCCTTTGGAACAACGTTTTCACATTAATCACTCACTGTGTGAACTTCTCATCACAGTAAAAAAAAAACTTATCATCCTTGGCATGGCACCCACTTTAATTGTGAAGAAAACTAGGTATGAACATATTTACAAAGAATTTGTAAACAAATCGTTTCTAGTACAAATTCAAGAGAACATTCTGACACTAGGTATGAGAATGTCTTAAAGAAATAAAACATTCCTGTTTAGAAGTAATTTCTTCTTTCATATCATCAAGAGAGGGCGCTGTACTTGTCACTAAGTTGTTGACTATTGTTGTTTTGGTAGTTTCACAAATAATTTACAGTTTGGCCTTCATTTGAAATATGTGAACACTATACTATCAGTCATCCTAGAAGCGATTACATGACGTAGCAGTTGTCCTATGAAAATCTTTAAGGCAAACTGTATTGGTAGTCATTTCGTATTTTGGTTGTCTATTTGCAAGGTACTTCCGTTGAATATCTAATACTTTGTAGTACTGGATTACGTCCATACCATCAACACATGTAACAATTCGCGCTCGCAGAATGAAATGGTCATCGGAGTCATCCAGTTCTCCAAAAAACTGATAAAGGGAGGATGGGCGTAAGGAGACTGGCATAACTAACTTAGTGTCAACAGTGAGTTCTACAGTGCTGTCACGTTCCACGCTGGATAAGACAGCCAGACAATTGACATTATCTTGCATCTTCAATCTGTTAAAATAAAACCAAATAAATAAAAGAAATGCGATAAAAAGTAAAGTCAAGGATTTATAAGGATAGGCAACTTTAACGCAAAGTATCACAGCTCTATCAAAACTATACACAATTGGCCAGAAAAGGCATACTCCCTTTGGGAGATAGAGAATTAATACCGGTATGTACAGCAATGTGTGATGTAGATTGAAAACTTGGATTATAAGGTTGTTACAGTTCCTGTCATGAACTAATCAAAGCAGGCATGGAAGCAGTTTAGGTGAGAAGACACTCTATCGCACATGTATTAGTTCAGCGAAATATAAAAACACGAATACCATTTCAAAAAGGTCAGTGCCTCATTATTTTTATTTGTAGAAAATGTTTTTCTCTACCAACCCCCATAATTTCCCAAAAAGAGGCCAATGTTTTTTTTTATGTTTGAGCTTTACGTTTCACTTTATCCTCATCAACATCCCTCAATATCTACTCTGTCTGACTCAACAGCGTCAACAATTCAAATAATCTTCCGATCCTAAGATTTCCAAGCTGTCAAACTTTTATTAATAATTACGTTTGCACTCGATATAATGTCCATCCCAAATCCATTTCTGTCCATTTTGTTCAACGTGTCGAGGGACGATGTCCTCATGGACCATGTGTATTATAAAGTGTGCAATATATACATACGATTTTTTTCAAAAATGAGGTCTAGCACCCATGATTTTTACTGATGATAATAATAGTTACATTTCATGACACGAGCACTTACTAGTATTTCAATGCTTTTTTTTCTTAACTCGGCTTTAGAGAGCAGAGAAAGGTAGAAAGACTGTGCAAATAATTTGTTTCCTTCACTATAAAGGGGCCCTTGGTAATTAAACATGTGCACAGTAAACGTAATGACTTCGTTAAGCATTCCCCCTTCCCTAGTACCCCCGGTAAAATTTAAATTAATTAAACATTAACATATATATGTTAAATCCATCCCTAATGTTGGGTTCATATTAATTGGTCAATCATGCAGATTTACTGTTTACTGAACGTTTACAAATGATTTTTTCTGAAATATTTTTTTTTCCTGTTGGTTTTCTTTTTTTTACTTACTTCACCCCCCCCCCCCTGTTTAGGACCCAGATCATTGGCTTTCATGCTGTTCAGCACCTCTTACAGAGGCCAAGATGGCCGTGCGTGATTACCTTCCTATAACTCTCACAGCTTTTCCATCGTAGCCTTTTTCTGCAACTTCTTCCAATTTCAAAATTTCAGCGCTCTTTCGAGGTTTCGCCATTTCGAAACATGTTCGTTTGTTCTTTACTCCAACCAATAACAAGGTCAAAAAGTCGTCGTTATTGACGCTGTTCAGTGTTTAGGTCATTAGGTTGTTATAGCGACAAATTATGCATCACGTGACCACATAATGGCGGCCATCTTGGTAAAAAACAGAAAATAAGACTTTTGATGGAAGCAGTGCTATTTAATCGTGATATGCTGTGATTACCGTATATGTGTTTCGGTTTTGGTGATTCTAATACGGGGTGAGTTACCGTAGTTCATATTTTGATAATAAGATGATAGAACACTGTATTTATAGGTACATTCGTAAAAAATATCTACTAGATGTCTGACTCGACGGCGTCAACAATTCAAATAATCTTCCGATCCCAGGATTGCAAATCTGTCAAACTTTTATCAATAATTACGTTTGCACTCGATATAATGTCCATCCCAAATCCATTTCTGTCATTTGTTCATATGCGTTTTTTTGTTTCTCGTAGAAGGAATTATCCGCAGTACTTAATTTGACACAAGTAATTTGTCGTCGACGTGAGTCACTGTGTCGTCTGGGAAGCCGAGTATTTTGTTCTTCAAATTCTCAAGGACAAGACAAGATATACGTTGTTGCTGGCGGGCAGTCGGTTCAAACGCGACTGCCAGTCTGGCATATGGTGTCAGTAATCCATAAACCGACATGAGCAGTTCTGTAGGTCACATGAGAGCATCTCCACCAAACTATGGGAGCCGTCATCCGGTACCAGCCCGGAGATCTTCCTTATCCCCAGCATACAACTCATCTATGATGCACAACAGTCGTAGAAGTTCCCGACTTCCTGCATCCACAGGTAGACCACTTCCAAATGGTCCTGGACCACTGAATTATGACGGCAGCAAACTCACAATCAAAAGAAATGACTCGCGTTCTAAGACTGATACCAACGGGCGAATGCCAATTAGAGCTGTCCATACAGAAAAACATCACCGATATAACCAAACTGATGTCAATGTATATGATTCTCCTTCCTCATCACATCGACATTATGGACTTACGCCTGTAAAAAGGTCTC